CTTGTTTTGTTACGCTTAGATTTGGTATCTTTCCATTTAACACATAGTCAAGGCTCTGAGTAAAATTCCAGTAGATTGGTAAATGTTAAATATCAATTTTAATTTCTAAACTATTAATTTTAAATATTTTTAGCTTTTAAATTATTTTTTGTACTTTTATAATCCTTAAAATATGACAATTTTATTTTTTTACCTTCTGTATGGTTTAAAAACTAAAATATTTAAAATTAAAAGTTTGAGAATTAAAATTGACATTTAACTATTGGTGAATTAGACCAGTGCTGGAAATCAGTTGCAGGCATTGATGCAGCAACAACGAGGCACAAGCAGGGAAACGAGTTAACAATCCACGGCTCCACACTGAATTCTCATTCATAGGATATTCGTCAATTTTTTTTCTTTATTTTTTGGGATCGGCAAGATATTCGTCAAATTATTCCACGAGAGAGATAAGTTAGAAAGAAAAAGACAGAATGATAAAAGATACAGGTATCATATTAGGGTAAAGAGATCTTCGTTTGTGTATATTCAATTATCATTTCATTTGCTGCTTTTTTCGGGTGTGGTCTGCATGTACAGAAAGAAAAACAGGAAACCAAGTCTGCTCTTGAGAAACTTGGCACTGAATATGGACGATTAAATCATGAATATTCAAAAATGAAGTCCGATGTGGAGAAAGTTGAAGTAGAATATGAACAGTTAAAGCATGGATATCAGGAAATGAAGTCTCATGTGGAGAAACTTGAGGCTGAAAATGGACAATTAAAGCATGAATGTCAGGAGCTCAAGTCCAATGTAGAGGAACTTGAAGCGGAAAATGGACAATTAAAGCATGAATGTTAAAAAAAGAAGTCTGAAGTGTAGGAACTTGAAGATGAAAATGGAAGGTTAAAGAAGAAACTGGAGCGGAAAGCAAATAAACTGTAAGCTTTCTCCTTGTTGGAAAACTTTAGAAGGAAAAAGGGGGTAAATTGCTCTCAATTTACGTGATAAATACTAGGCATTTTTGGGAAATTAGCCCCTGTATTCCTTGATGGGTAGGCATATCAGCCCCTCAATTAAAAAAAGATGCTTTTCAACCCTTGTAGTCTTTTTCATGGTTGGAGATTAGACCTGGCAAATGAGCAGATTGGATCAGGTTCGGGTTTGGTCAACTCGAGTGACGGGTTATATGAGTTGGGTTATAAACGGATTGCAAGTTAAAAAAGTTCAACCTTAACCCGACTTTAATGGATTACGAGTTAACCCGTGAATTGACATTATTTTCATTCTTTATAATTATTTTT